TCACATGGCTGGGAAAGAGAACAAGGCAACAATCCCATCAGGGTCCTGTGCTGATGACCTCCTCTAAACCTAATTATCTCCCAAAGGCCAGTCTCCAAATACCGTCACACTGGGGGTTAGGGCTTCAACCTGAGTTTGAGGGCAATTCAGTCCATGGCATTTTGCTCCTGGGCCCCCAAATTCATTTTCTTCTCACACATAAAGTACACTCATTTCATCCCAACAGCACCCAAAGGCTTGTTAACTCATTCCAGGATTAGCTCTGAAGTCCAAAGTTTCATCTAATATCATCTAAGTCAAATATGGGTAAAACTCAAGATACAGTTCATTCTGAGGCAAAATTCCTCTCCAACTATGAACCTGCAGAACCAGATAAGTTATATGCTTCCAAAATATAATGGTAGGACAGACATAGGGTAGACATTTGCATTCCAAAAGTGAGGGGCGCCGGGGTAACTCAATTGTCAGACTCTTGATTTCCACTCTGGTCATGATTTCAGGGTCCTGAGACTGAAGACTAAGCCCCGAGTTGGGCTCTGTGCTGGGCATGGAACCTGCTTAAGATTCTCTCTCTCTCTCTGCTCCCGTCTTCTGTCCCCTGACCCCACACTTCCTCTCTCTTGAAAAAAAAAAAAAAAGGGTGTGTATGTGTGGGAAATCAGAAGGAAGAATGTGGTGACAGGACCCAAGCAAGTTTAAAACCTAGCAAAATAAATTCCATTAGATCTTAAGGATCAAGAATAATCCTTTTTGGTTCAACGTCCCACCTTCCAGGCATACTGGTAGTCAAGTCCACCGAGTCCCCCAAGGCTCCAAGCAGAGGCCATAAGACCTGCTGAAACTGAGGCAGTGGCCTCATCTCTGATTTTGCCTTTGGGTTCATTTCTCCTCTGTCCTGAAGAATAATCCACGTGTCCGGAGCCACAGAGCTGCACCATCCCACCTGTCAAATCCAAGAAGTCCAACAGTCTTTCTTCATTTACACTTTACTATATATGCAGTCAGGAGGAATCAAACTGCCTCATCAACACTCTGCTAAGAAATCACCTCAGCTAAGTATCTAATTTCACTGTTCACAATTCTTCCTTCTAAACAACACTATACTACATCACAGTCCAGTCAAGTTCTTTGCCATTTTAGAATAAGGACTGAGCTTCCTTCACTTTCTAATAACATGTTCTGCATTTCTGGGACTTCACCAGAACTGTCCTTAATGTCCGTATTTCTGGCATGCACCTCAAACCTCTTCTGGCCTCTACCCAGTTACAAAGCTGCTACCACATGCGTAGGTATTCGCTATTACAGCACCGCACTCCTGCCCAAATCTGCCTTAGTCAGCTTGGGCTGCCACAACAGAATACCAAACGGTGGGTAGCTTAAACAGAAATTTATTTTCTCACAGTTCTAGAAACTAGAAGTCTAAGATAAAGGTGAAAGCATGGTTGGTTTATGGTAAAAGTTTTCTTTTTGGCTTGTGGATGGACACTTTCTCACTGGGTCATCACATGGTATGTGTGGGGGGACGAGTATTAGGGAAGAGAGAACAAGCTCTTTGGTGTCTTTTCTTACAAGGCATCAATCCATCACAAGGGATCTATCCTCTGACCTCTCTAAACCTACCTACCTCATAGAGGACCCCCTTCCAAACACCATCACACTGAGGGCCAGGGTTTCAACATAAGAATTTTGGGGAGACACAATTCAGTCTACAACACAGCAACACAGCATGTCCCTGACAGCTCGGGTAGCAGAACATACATTCTTTCCCCAAGAGGATGAGAGGAGCACAGAAGAGAGGGAATTAGAGAAGATTCTTTGAGTTGGTGTATTATATCAAAGGAATGCAGATTTCAGCAAGATATTTCTCTGCTGGGGATCCTGATTATCACTTCATTGTAATAAGTTCAAGATGTAACTATGTAACACATCAAATTCTTTGAAGTAATGAAAAAAAATGAACAGAACTTTTATAAAAACATTATGGGAAAGATTCAGGATTCTTCAGAGAACTTTGAAGCAATTTTAGAAAACAGACACAGGCTAAACTTTACTCATTGTTCTTGAAACAGAACTGTGATTGGGTCCAAATACCACCATGAAATAAAGCCCTAACAGTCGCAGCTAGGGATGGGGATTGGACTGGGGAAGGAAGACTGAAATGGAATCATGGCAAGGCCAAGAGAGCACTAACTATGTGCCACATGCTCTTTTATATTTCTAGACTTAAATGTTTAATGGGTTTAGAAATCATCAAAACAGCCAGATGTTACTATAGCTTGAGTCTAACAGGAGGTCAACTGGTGTGAGGAGGACAAGATGAGGAGGGTAGGCTACATGATGCTGAAGGGCCTTTCCAATATTTAATCGTCTTCCTTTTCTAAAAGATGAGGCAGTGGTTTCTGGAGTGTGCTGCTTCTTCATGAAGACAATAGCCTTGTTCTTACATAACTAAAGGGAAAGAAAGCTGGTATCAGTGCTAGCTTCAAGAGCCCAGAAAGGAGAAATGAAATGATTAAACTGCCATCATTCATTCAAATGAACACAGAGAGGCCACCTAGAGCTATAAGATTAAGAAAGAGGAACAAGCAAGGGCTTCAGGGACAAAATGGTAAAAAGAAAAAAAAAAAAAGTCCAAAAGACTCCAGACAAAGGAAGTAGGTATCCAGTAAGTAGGCTGAAAGGAGAAATAATGCGCCTCCTGAGGAAAGGTACACCAGATTTGAGTTCCTCAGAAAAGGAAAGAGATCATTTCAGGAAGGGTCAAGAAGAAAAGAGACCACTGAGAAACCAACAACAGAAAAATCTGTAACAGTGGTTGGCTCTGAAAAAGATCTCTACAACTCAAAAAGATCTTGGCATTTTACTCATGCTCACTGGCACAGTGCCTGGCATATAATAGATGCATACCACCTATTTGCAGAGGAAAAAAACACCTTACTGAGTCCCACAACAGCCCTGAGAAGATCTTCCCAAGAATTAGCACAGTGAGATACAACAAAATATAAATGTGCAATATAAAAAGAATAAAATCTACACTGTGGAAGATATAGGCTAGCTATGATTTAGAACAGGGGTGACCTTTAGATTTGTGAAGCCCTTGAAATCACACTCTAATCACATTTTTTAGAAGGAGGGTTCAGGGCTTTTGATTATAATTTCAGTGTGAGTTATCAGCAATTGATATATTATTAAATCAATTACTGTATTGGTAAAAGATTATTGGGAATATGATGAAAAGGATATATATATAGAGATGTATCTCTCTATATATATCTAGGTTACAGTTTCATATGTATTTACATACCACCTGAATTGTTATCCTTTAGACATATGGTACATGGTAAACTACACTTCAAAGATTCAGACTAACACTGTGACTTTGTTGTTCTCTTTATATTGTACTTCCCCTTCATCCCACAGAAGCAATTTTTAGACACATTATCTCATTCATGTTCCTATTGTTGCCTAGCAAAGTTAGGAGTACACCAAAGGCACTTAACCATTTTAGATTTTGATTTTGGTTTCTTAATAAATGTCAAAGACACTTTTATATTAAATATACTCACTAACACTAAACCTTTAAATAGCAGAGAATGCAAAATATACTTTTTCAGAAAAGTTACATATTCTAATGGAAAGAACTAGACAGGAACACACCGTATCAATTCCGTGTAGATAGAGCTCAGTTCCGTGTAGATAGAGCTCACAAAAGTTTCTGACCTCAAACTCCCTAATGAAATTTCCAAGAAATAAAAACTGAAACACCGAACACTAGTGTCCTGGCCATTCGCTGAAGCTCCGGTTGCTTAATGCTTAACTTTTTAAAAAGATTTTATTTACTTGAGAGAGAGAGTGAGGGAGAGAAAGAGAGTGCACAAACTGGGGGACGGAGGGAGAAAGAGGGGTCCTGCTGAGCAGGGAGCCCATCCCAGGACCTTGGGATCAAGACCTGAAGGCAGACGCTTAACCGACTGAGCCACCCAGGTGCCCTGTTGATGCTGAATTTTAAAACATTACTGCTTTTCCTAATTATGAAAACACTTGTGAACACATTATTTGCTACTGTTACTTAACTGACTCCCCTCCTCATTAAACTAGGCGGAGAACTGAAAACCAGAGTATACAGTGTGATGCCTTTTAAAAAATTATTTTAAGTTATTACTATTATCAACCCCCCCCCACACACACACAATGAAATCGAATGAGCCCTACGGGGAAGCAGGAACTACATTAGAGGAAGCAAACAAACCAACCAACCACAAAAACAAAAACAAAAACAAAAAACACCTGTATTCGAGCAATTAAACTAAAGCGCAGTCTTTGAATCGCTTAACACCCGGGGGCCGCGTATAATTTTTTTCTTCTTCCGGACGGTGGAAGAGATCAAGATGTTTTAAGAAAGGGTTGACCGGGGGCACCTGGGTGGCTCAGTGGGTTAGGGCCTCTGCCTTCGGCTCAGGTCATGATCCCAGGGTCCTGGGATCGAGCCCCGCATCGGGCTCCCTGCTCAGCGGTGAGCCTACTTCCTCCTCTCTCTCTCTCTCTCTCTCTCTCTCTCTCTCTCTCTGCCTGCCTCTCTGCCTACTTGTGTTCTCTGTCAAATAAATAAATAATCTTTAAAAAAAAAAAAAAGAAAGAAAGAAAGGAAGGGTTGACTAAGTTGACCTAAGTTGACTTAGGTCAATTTAGAACGCCCGGAACCATGAAAAACTATGGTGAATGCTCAAGGACAATGCAGCAAGAGGGGCTCAGCAGAAAGCTTGCTCGGGGGTGGGTACTTCGAGGACTTCAAAGGCCGGGAATGGGGGTGGGGTGGGAAGACTGGAAGAAAGAGGACGAAGAAAGGGCGGCTGGAAGGAAATGGAGAAACGGGAAGGGGGCAGGCTGGTAGTGGGCTGGAAAAGGAGTCGCCGGGCGGGAGCCCGAGGGTGGGGAGGAGAAGGGGCAGGGAGCCCCGGCCCCGCCCCGGGGAGGCCCGAGCGCCCGGCCGTCCCCCTTACCAGCGGGAGCAGGAAGCCCCAGAGCAGGGCGGTCGCGGCCGTCAGCGGCCGCTGCGGCCCCATCGAACTGCTGGGCGCTCAGCGGCGCGGCGCTTCTCGGCCGGCACAGGTTCCGGGTCCCGCCGCGGCGCTGCCTCCGTGGCCGGGTCGGACGGGCGCGGACGGCGCGGGGAGGCGCGGGCCGCCGCTGCTGTTGGGGCAGCCACTGTAGCGCCGACTTCCTCTTCCGGCTCCGCCCAGAGGACGCGGAAACCCCCGCGCGGGGCACGTGGAGGCCAGGTCGGCGCGCGTCGCCAGTCGGGCGGGTGCTCGGTGCTGTGCGGTCTCGGCGCTGGCAGGCGGCGGGCTGTGGGTCTGGGTGTGTCTTGCTCTTTCCAGCTGCCTGACCCGAACTCTCCCGAGAGTCCGGACGGTGGGGGGGCCCCGCCCAGAGCAACTTTTTCAATACCCTCTTCCTCCTAGAAGTCCCCGTGCGCCTGCTCTGTCCTGCAGTACCGGCGCGGGCGTGCGGGCGGAAAATCTGCGTGCGCTGAGCCTTAATTCATCAGTCCGCCGGCGGGTCCCGGTCACTCATACATATATCCCAGTTACGTCCATTGGGTCCCAAACTGCTGCCACCTCTGAATCCGGACATTTCTCTCCTCCAGACTAATGTGTTTAAGACTCCGGGTGGCCCATTATCCACATACCAGTTCTAGATATAAATCAGATCATGTCCCTCACCATCACATGTAGCACAAAATGAAAACTACTCTGGCTGCGAAGTGTATATATATGGTCCCAGTCTTCTTCTCTGACCCAGTCTTCACTATTTCCCACGCTTTTGTAACCCCCAGATGGCCACCCTTTGGTTCTTTTGTACTGGTAGTCCTCCCTCCTGGAAGGTTTTCTTTCTCCATACCGGTTCATTGCATTCCCTCATCAGCTTAAATGTCACTCCCCCAGAGGGAACTTCCAGACAAACCTATCTAAAGGAGCCATCCAGTCTTTCTTTACCACGTGGCTTATTTACTCTGTAAAGCACTTTTCACTCTACTGTTCTCTTGCTTATTTATGTGCTCATTTATCTGTGATGTCTCCTCCCACTTAATAGCAAGGAGTGCCTTTGCTTTGTTCACTGCCATATCTCTCATATCTACAATATCTGGCATAACGTAGGTCCTCAAATGTTTGTTGGATTGATTTTTAATTCTAAACACTGAATAGGATCCTATACATGCCATCCCACAGCTGAGTTTAGCAAGGGACACAGATGTGTAAACAAACATAGTTCAGGATGAATAGCGACTCTTTACTTTGCACAAGATGTCGTGCGAGTACCAAAGGAACATATAAAAGGGGTGCCAAAAAAAATTCCAACCTAGGGGCGCCTGGGTGGCTCAGTGGGTTAAGCCGCTGCCTTCGGCTCAGGTCATGGTCTCGGAGTCCAGGAGTCCTGGGATCGAGCCCCGCATCGGGCTCTCTGCTCAGCAGGGAGCCTGCTTCCTCCTCTCTCTCTGCCTGCCTCTCTGCCTGCTTGTGATCTCTCTGTCAAATAAATAAATAAAATCTTAAAAAAAAAAAAAAAATTCCAACCTAAGCTGAGTCTAGAAGGGTGAGTTAATTTTAGCCAGGCAATGGGCAGGGGAAGGGGGGAGACTTCCAGGAAGAGTGAACCATTAGTGTCAAAGCCAAAGGTGACATTGGAGGAACTGCAAAACTTGGGCTTGGCTGAAGTTATGAGTGGTGAAAGATGAAGTGAGAGAAGAGGGCAGAGGCCAAATCACAAGCAGATTAGGACGTCCTGCTTAGAACTTTAGACTTCATCCAATTGTTGGTGGAAAACCAATTAATAATTAGAGCAGTGACAATATCTGGTTTAGAAAGCTCTCTTGGTGGCAGGTGGGGTGGCAGCTGGTTTGAAACGGGGCGAGAGTGGGAGCCAGGAAACCTGTTGGAACCTAACCCGGGCCAGGGATAGTGAGGGCCTGAACTGAGACAGTGACAGTAGAAATGGGGAGGAAGAGATGGACTTGAAAGATTTGTAGTAGAATTTGGTCACTGAGAGGACATGGGAGATGAAGGAGAGAAGGAGAGGGATGATTGCTAGGATCCTGTCCTGGGCTGTTTATTGAGATGATCACCACAGGAGTTGGGGTTGGGTGGGCAGGCATGCAGAGGGAAATATTTTGGACATGTTTTGTGAAATTCTTGTAGGACATCCAAGTCAAATGTCTGCAGGTTGATAGCTAGGTAGGTTGGTCCCAAGGTTCGTGGCACAATGAGGCCAGAAAATAGGTCTCCTGCCTGTAGATCATAGACTCTTTTTCACACTTTCTGGCTGTTGAGGGCAAGCAAGTTTCCTCTTCAGTAAAATAGCTGTGTTGGACTAGATGACTTCATCTCTAAATATTGCCTCCTGCCCATAGTGGCACTTTGCCTAGTGAAACTTCAGTGTGGTTCCTGAGGCTGTCTGAAGATCTCTGGTTTTCCTGTCTACATTTATGCCCACTTTTCCTTCTCAATTGGAGAAAATTTTTTGCTTGCAGCCAAAGAAACTATTATAGGCTAGTTCCTTGTACAATCTCTCTTTGCCTGCTTTAGTTTTCTCAGCTGAAAGATATGGACAGTAATACCTATACTGACTGCCTTGCATGATTTTTGCAAAAATTATCTGATTTGTAATGTGGGTAAAATTACTCTGAAAAATAATTTTTTTTTTTTTAAAGCAGCAGGAGGAGAAGGAGTGAAGGAGAAAGGAAAGGCTGGTAGAAGGCTGTGTTATTGCTGTCATCTGAAGTATCAGCATTGTTTGTCATAATTCCCCTGACAGATGGTATCTCTTTGGTCAAAGTCCCTACTCAGGATGAGGTGAAGGAAACTGGGAGAGTTAATGGAAGATTAAAAGATTCTTGTGTAATGATTCGACTACTGGAAGGGCTATTAACAGTTATTTGGAGGACACCACTGTAACACATGAATTTCCCTGCAAGTATTAGGTATGATAAAGAATACCAGCATAAGTTTTAGCCAATATTTTTCTTCCACAAATAAACTATGTATAAAAATCCAATTACAGGGCGCCTGGGTGGCTCAGTGGGTTAAGCCGCTGCCTTCGGCTCAGGTCACGATCTCAGGGTCCTGGGATCGAGTCCCACATCGGGCTCTCTGCTCAGCAGGGAGCCTGCTTCCTCCTCTCTCTCTCTCTCTCTCTGCCTCTCCGTCTACTTGTGATCTGTGTCTGTCAAATAAATAAATAAAATCTTTAAAAAAAAAAATCCAATTACAGGGGTGCCTGGGTGGCTCAGTCGTTAACTATCTGCCTTTGGCTCAGGTCATGATCCCAGGGTCCTGGGATCAAGCCCTGCATCGGGTTCCCTGCCCAATGCGAGGCTGGATGTGGGGCTGGATGTGGGGCTGGATGTGGGGCTTGATCCCAGGATTCTGGGATCATGACCTGAGCCAAAGGCAGAGGCTTTAACCCACTGAGCCACCCAGGTGCCCCTCTTCTAAGTGTTTTATAGTTTGTGGTCTATGTTTTAAGTCTTTAGAGCATTTTGAGTTGATTTTTGTGCTTATCACTCTTTTTAATGGGAATAATGATTATCACCTCAGTCTCAGTAATTATCTTGTCCATAGATTAAAAAGCTGCTTAGAGTTTCCTGGTATTGCTTTTCCGTAAAGACTACCTGGCTTTGGTTAAATGCTTTCCTCCTCTAATACCTGTTTATGAGGCATTTCTCCTTGAGAGAACATGTGACTTAAATGGTTCCTGGTTCACAAGAGGTGACTAGGACCAGAGAGGCGAGCCAACAGCTATGGTTTCATCACTAGAGCTTCTCTTCACCTGTTCACATTTTTTATTTCTGTTATTGACAGAATCCCTTCCCATTGGAGTTATGTCAATTAGTCAAATATAATTGCCACTTCCTACATAAGAGGCAACTTGAAATTTAACTTGAATCTTAGGGAGTGCAGAAGAGTATCCAGTAGTTGAAAATATTGAGAGAAAAAATTTCTTAAAGCTCACAGTTGTGGAGCAGCATATGACCCAAGGTGATAGACCAAAATTCAAGCTCTGGTCACTTCTCTTAGGAAATCTTGTAAACTGGAAACAATGGAAATTCCTCTTCCTCCTCCTCCTTGTTCTTTTTTTTTTTTTTTTTTAAGATTTTATTTATTTATTTGACAGACAGAGATCACAAGTAGGCAGAGAGGCAGGCAGAGAGAGAGGAGGAAGCAGGCTCCCTGCTGAGCAGAGAGCCCGATGCGGGACTCGATCCCAGGACTCTGGGATCGTGACCTGAGCTGAAGGCAGAGGCTTTAACCCACTGAGCCACCCAGGTGCCCCCTCCTTGTTCTTTTTTAAAAGATTTATTTATTTGAAAGAGAGAGAACGCACCCACAGCGGAGAGGGGCAGAGGGAGAGAGAGTCTGAAACAGACCCTGCACTGAGCAGGGAGCCCAATGGAGCCATGGGGCTCCATTTCACGATCCTGAGATCAGGGCCCTGAGATTACGACCTGAGCTGAAATCAAGAATCAGATGTTTAACTGACTGCACCACTTAGGCTCCCCAACAAGGAACTTCTTGAATGCAACATCATGCAAAATTTAATAATAATGTCTTATAAGCTATTATTATTATTATTATTTTAAAGCTCACCTTTATACCTGTGTTTTTTGCATACATTATCTAATTCATTTAAAGCAATTTTATGAGATAACTTATTACTTTCATTTTGCAGATGAGGAAGTATAGAGGTCAAACACTCATATGAAATCTTCCACAGGGGTGCCTGGGTGGCTCAGTGGGTTAAAGCCTCTGCCTTCAGCTCAGGTCATGATCCCAGGGTCCTGGGATCAAGTCCCGCATTGGGCTCTCTGCTCAGCAGGGAGCCTGCTTCCCCCTCTCTCTTTGCCTGCCTCTCTGCCTACTTGTGATCTGTCAAATAAATAAATAAAATCTTAAAAAAAAAAAAAAGAAATCTTCCACAAGATATGGAGCAGGAATTTAAATCCAATGAGATAGGATTCTGGAAAGACAGAGCTGTAGGGAGCATCCAGAATCTGTAAATTATATTCCCCTTTGTATCACTATAGGTGCTCAATAAATGTTTGCTTAATTAAGAACTTTTGCCAATAATTAAGAAGCCTGTGTTGCTGTTTTGAATATTTTTAGGTTCAACTAAATTACTTCTGAAGTGTCTTCTAAAGCT